AGGTTGACGGAAACTCGGGGACTGTGCCTACCTGATGAGACCCAAGGAGGGCGAAACCGGTCGTGGGTTGTCAACAAATTTTCAGCAACCTTGTAAGTAGTTTGCTTTATGAAAATATACTGCGATATCGAGAATATCGTGTCAACTGAAATATGAAGCGGCCTGTGTGCAGCACATTCAGTTGCAGAATAGCATAAACGAGGGGTTCAGTTCAGTCAAACCAAATTAAGTACCAAATTTAAGTACCGTTCAAGCTGAAAAGTGTGACAGCCTTTGGGCAACACATCCATATAAATAACGTTGATATTCAACTGTTATGGTTAAAGCCAAAGTGATTTGTAACTGAGCTTTTTTCAGCGAATATATGCAACTTGATGTTCAAGTGGGATACCTGGATGATGGCGATTCAGGAACTAAGTCTAGCTGATGCGTGCATCAAGTAGAGAGCAAAGCCGGCAGTGTGCTGTCAAGAGTTCTCATTGATCTTGTGGGTCGTGGAATAATCTGCTTGGTTCTCAGTCGATGAACTAATTGAAATTGAACGAACTTAGATGTGGTCACTGAATTTCACACAAAATGAGTATCTTCTTGCAAGAGTGATGAGATGTTGGAAGGAACTAAACATAACCAGGACAGTGGGAATGTTATCCACTTCCGCGACAAAACTACCCAGTAACGCTGAGCTCTATTCACGACCAGCCTCAAATGAACAATGATCCTCCATTCATTGTGACTTTGCCGGACCTTCGGGCGAGAGAGCCCAAGGGGTTAGATCGCGGATTTACTGAACGGAGGGTCCATGGTTCGAACCCGACCCCTACCTTTTGAATCCCCCTGTCTAGGCTTGGGAAACCTGGTGGCATCACAGCCCTCGTGCTTCCTTCTGGTGTCATGGCAGCTAGGCACGGAAAGGGTGCTACAGCTGAACGATATATATATATATATATATATATACATATATAGAATCTTATAGTTAGCTATCTCCGTCGTACTTCAGAATTTGGTGAGCCCAAAAGAATGATGATGTCGATAAATATCGAACTGTTGAACAGCACTTCACTCGGCGACATCATCTTCGGTTGACAGTTTGACTGTAGGATATTCTCACAAACCGATGCTGTGAGCGTATCTAAGGCTAAACTATCTGGTAGATCAAATAAGTTACTATCAAACCGAGTTTACTGGTGAGGCCAGTTTATTATTAGCCGTGTTTGTGGGGTAACCTCGTTGAGTGAGTGAATACGCGTCACTCACATTGAGTTGTGGTCACTACAGCGTGATGTCTCATCTTTGGTAGTGAGTCCGTCATTTGAGGGACCACAAAAGCGTCGCCTCATCGATTCTACTGAAGCTTTGTTTACTGTGCAGAAGGCTGCAGATCTTTTCCAGATAAGCCCCGCCATTTTTTGCCAGCTCCAGTTTAATGTACGCACATAACCTTGGCCTATTTTTGATGAAAACAATTCCTTAGCCGTATCTAGGCTCATTTTGTGCAAAATTTTCTCCGTCCGGACGTAAAACCTTAAATGAACTTTCTGATGCTTTAAACTCTCGTTCGTCACAAGAAGACGGCAATACGTATTTTGCAAATCCACGGAGTGATGCATCAGCAACGTTTATGCAACAATGGCCACCAAATGACACTTTCAACTGTTTCCTACAGGTGGAGGTGTAATGTCCGACAGTGTCAGCAAGAAATCGGTCTTCGAAAGGGAACTTGGCTTGAGCAGTCTAGGATGGAGTTTAGGACAGTAGTTTTATTCATTTATTACTGGTCCAGAAATTCTGCCCAGAGAAATCATCTATTTGCCACAAGACCGTTGTTGACTGGAAGAATTTCCTTCGCGCATGACGGCTTCTGCACACTCCAACAGTTATCGGCGGCTCAGGTCTGCATGTCGTGATCGATGAAACGCTAATATCTCGCCGTAAAAACCACACAGGACGAGTCCTTCACCAACAGTGGATTTTCGGAGAGATCTGCCGGGAAACTAAAGAGGCGTTCATGTATGCAGTGCCAAATCGAACTGCGGCCACTTGGATGGACACAATCCGGGCCTGTATCGCTCCTGGCTCAATCATTATCTCCGATTTTTGGGCATCATACCAAGGAATTGAAACGATGATTGACATGAATTCTACTCATAAAACAGTTAATCATTGCGAAAACTTTGTGGATCCAACGACTGGGGCTCAAACACACTAACGCGGCACACACCGATCTTCAGCGGACAGCTACTTGTGTGAGTTTGTTTGTAGGCAAAGGTACCGAAAAACGGACCTTTGCATGCAAATTATTAATGACGTTCCAAGTTAACCCTCCTCAATAAAAACTAAAAGTACAGTTTCATATCCTCTTTTTTCTAATATTTTTGGGTGGCGGGGGTTAATTTTTTGGCGGAGCTTATCTGGAAAAGATCTAGGTTTAGGTCCAAAAATGTATTATTTAACAAAGTGCGTCACTATGAATCACCAATATGTCTTACACAGAAAGCCATATGAGTCTCTCCTCAACGAACAGAAAGCGTGATTTGCTGGCAGTGTGAAATTCAGGGATCTTCAATGGGTATTTGGTCTTGTAAGAGAAACTAGTCTGCGCTAATAGGCCGAGAAGATTTGTACATCTGTTTCATCCTTGTTGATAGGTTGAACACTCAACCTTTCGGCTGATGGGCAGTGAGATTAAATCATGCTTAGCCAAGTTATAGCCCCACTTATTTTTCATTCACGGGATTCGCATCACGTGATCATGTGTTGACTGGCTCCTCGAATGGCGACTTCACAGATAAAAGGTTCACTTGTTTCCTGTTTTTTTCATTTCTTCACACTACCAACAAACAAAAAGTAGCTCAGAAAGAAGAATAATCCACACAAATGAATTCTCAATCTGAGACGACCTCATCCAAGGAAGTAGTCAACACGTGTCTGTATGATGTAGATCACGTGACTGAATGATGAGTGGTGCTATAATCTGTCTGAGTGCTAGTCAAGCACACTGTTAACTGACCGAACAGTTCACTATTCGGCTATTGACCGGAAGGCCGAGTTCCAATCTTCCCGGGTATTCGTGGAAGCTGATGATTTTCAATGAAGACTGGACAGCTTTTCAGTAAAGATTGGATTGGAGGGCGAGATGGCTCAGTGGTTAGAGCGCGAATTTACTAACCGGAAGGTTCGTGGTTCGAACCCGACCCCTGCATCTCGACTTACCCTCTATGGGTTTGGGCAACGCTTCAGCTCTCGTGCTTCCTCCGAGTGGCATGGCAGTTGGACAGCGAATGGGTGTAACAACTGAACGACACCTTCACAATAGAGAGTATGATGCTCTCCCTGTGGTGCGTTTGACACATGCGCCAAGACTAATCTTCAAACGGTCCAATGTAGTACCTCAGCCTTGGCGATTTTTTCACTCAAGTACCAACAAACGATGTCAAACTAAATGCATACGCAGATTCCCTTCAGTTGAGTAGTCAAACCCAATAGAGGTTGATCTATAGAATAGTCCACTTTAGTAGACCGCAGTCAGGTGCTGCTACGACGGAGAAGCCCATCCCACGCAAGATTGGCCAAAAGTTTGGGAGGTTTGTCAGTCCGGCATCAAGCCGATATTTGATTGGTCGAAAGTCTGGACATAACAGCCAATCATGAACCAGGACTGTTCGAATGCCGGTTGTTAATGTCGCATTCCAGAATGCGTCAGAATTTCCAGAAAGTTGTCCCCGCTTACACTGTATATGTGAAGCACTGTAAAAGTGTCTTTGACTCGGGTTTGGGCGTTAATATACCTTGTGTACCTTTGGTGGTTGTATTGACGTGAACGCCAGCTCGGGTGGCTCAGACCGAAAACCAAGCTGAGAAAAACACCGTTACTACAAAGGGGTCACTTCTGAATAGCCTGATTCTTAGGTCAATAGTTGCTATGGGTTCGGTATCAGCTTGTCATATATTTTCGTATGACTAAGAGACTATATTGAAAATGCTGGTGGCTGACCAGCAGACATAGTATTATACAAAAACAGTAATATGTCGGCTGTGAAGTCACTAAACAACGAAGTCTGGACCTCGTCAGTTCTTTCGAACTCATTCTGGAGATAACTTCCCGAGAAATTATGAGCGAATCGCTCTCTTGGGAGTCTTGGTACGATTCCGTTAACATTTGAGTTCATCCACATCTTTGGAAGTTGGTTCAAATATTTTGAAGTTTGCAAGTTTGCAGTAGGTTGCGTCAAGCTTGGAATATCAACCTGTGAACACAACTCAAGAGTGTGTTTGTGTGTGTGGGAGGGGTAATCCGCACAGCGATAAAAGGCATTCTTACTTGAGAGTGATCAGAGCCACCGGTAGTTGTTGGATCGCTGGAGTCCCCATTGAACACAGACAAAGCCATTGCACGGCCCAGACATCCACGGACACTTGTGTTGGCGATATCGATTATCCCTCTCGGGTTGATGAATTCGAATCCATCGCCAATACAATTTGTGATGTTGATGAATGACAATCTAAGAGAAAGAATCACCAATGAATGACTAGCCTATAAAACTGAATCAGAGGAACCGTGCTCCTAGTCTGAATGTATTAAGCAGTTACACCTGTGGCATGCCTCCTTTAACATTTAAACTTGCCAGGAAGTCACCTGGTTCACAGTAGCTAACCAGCACAATTGCTGCGAATACGTTCACCTGTTTGGATGTAATATTTCAGGACTATCAATCCCGGACTCGTGGAGCAGCGGTATCCTCCACGCCCCGGATACCAGTTGTCCGGGGTTCGAACCCTGACACAGTCAAGAGTGAAAACTGTATAGATCGATAAGAATTGAGCACATCAGGACAAAGGAGTGATTGTTCAAATTGCTCAAATTCACGAGCTGTTCATTCGCTTGCAGGCTGGTTGACAGGGATCACTCGGGTACGTCTCTGAAAAGGTTACTCACGTGTAAGTCTTCAAGTCATATTTGTTGGAATAAAACGATACAGTTCCGGACAATCAAACTGGATTATCCATAGCCACACCACTCGCGTTTGAACGGCCGTGTTCCTGTTCTGGTGTAATTATTCCGGTGAGTCCAAAGCAAAGGGAAGCACTAGACTCGAGCTTCGCTCTTATTGCAACCAAAAATATGCCCAGTGGGGTTTTGAAGTGTGTGCCACGCTACCTGACTGGCGGGTCAATCGATCGTCACAACCAGGACAGTTACTGGGTCGTCGTTCGATGAGTCGGGCACACCAATCACATCGCTCAAGTGTGAACACGTTAGCCTGTTCACACGTGATAATTCACCGTGCGTTGGTGGAGTAGTGGTTACACTCTCGCCTCACATATCACATGTCCGTGGTTCGAATCCCGGCACACTCATTGGATATGCACTGCTGATGGGCTCTAGAGTCAGTGCTTCCCTTTGGTGTGTACTTGCCGGAATAATTACAGGAAAACGGTCGTTCAAACAAGAGTGGTGTGGTTATGGACAAAATAACTATCCCGCAAAACCCCAAAATTGCAACTGGATTAGTCTGCAGTGTTAACTCAAAGGCCAAAGTAGGCGCAAGCCTCTGACGGTCGTTGAAGTTTGTCAGAAGGCCCTCGTGAGTTTTGACTTCTGGGGCGTCGTGAGCTCCACTCAAAGTTGGGGAGTATCCGGTTCTTTGAGACGAAACCCGTGGCATGGCAAGTGACTGGGACAGTACCTCCGTTGATGATAAATTCTATAAAAAAGGGAACGGATCCAATCTATTCTGCGTATTCATACTATGGAAATCACGAGTGTTTTTATTCACGGTTAACGTATGGTAGCGAGGTGTGTAACTTATCAATGTTTAAGCAATACTGTTCACAATTCCTTGCTTACCTCGGGTGGGCAAAAACCGTAGCTAGCGCGGAAACTATTTGACCATGTAGCAACCCGGCATTCTCAAGAACCACGTATTCTAAAACGGACTGTTGACGGTCTTCCAGTCTGAGCCCGATCGGGTCAAGTTCGAATGGGCGCACAATTCGAATGTTTCCCCAAGTGTTGCTCACCAAATTCGGACCGGACTGGGACGGACGTGCGGCGCAACGAAGAAATACGAACGCTCTTTTTCTGAGGCATCTGCAAACAAAGAAATCAATAGAAAAACAGCAAACATATTTATACAGGTTGTGTGTTAAAAACTAAATCCTGTGAAGTGTGCTGTTATGAGTATAAGATTCGGTAATCAAAGTAAACACGTAATGTTATTAGAGGAAGACAACCTTGAATCGGACCAGTCGATATCACATGCGTTTATTTCGATCGATAGCTATCAGCTGACTTATTCAGAAGTCGTATGCAATCCAGCAGCTGATTTTCCATCAATATAAACATTCTTTTTTCTAACGAAATACACTGTGATGTTTTCAAAAACACCATAAACGAGAGATTCAGCTGGGTCCCAGGCGAGTCTCCGGCAAAACCGAATTGAATTACAAACAAGTGTGTTTCGTGCAATTCGGAATCAAGTAGAACATAAGGTTGACGGGAACCTGGGGACTGCGCCTACCTGATGAGCCCCAAAAAGGGCGAAACCAGTCGTGGGTTGTCGAAGAGTTTTCAGCAACTTCATGAGTAGCGTATTACATTCTAGTCTCTGTTCATACGAATACGTCGTCAGAGTGGTAGTTATGTTGAATGGTGAGAAAATACATATTTATGAGGCGAAAGCACTGACTATTAACTATAAATGAATTGTTATCCCCTCCCTAATTTACTACATGCGCCATTCTGCCACCGGTATGCACTAGAGGGCAAAGGACTCATTCATTTGCACGCATACTTGAAGGCCATATGCAACCTTGTCTCACTAGATCACTTTTACTTCTAAATAGCAACCTCAGTCTGTCGTTTTAACCCAAATACATGTTTCCCTTGTCCTCATTTTGACCAGGTGCGCTTTTACACTCAATCCACACGGACTGTGCATCGTAGCATCCGTACAGAGGATCCTTTCTTGGGGGATATTGTATGTAGTGGACGTACTTGATGACTACTGTCTGAGTTCAGCGGAGCCAACCAGAGTTTCAAATATCTGAGTTTTTACAATCGCAGGCCACCGGACGTGGTTGTATAGCATTTTTGTGGTATCTTGCTGCCACATGACCTTAAGAGGAAAAGTACCGTTAAACAGGGCAACAAGAAAGCCCTCTGGATTTGAACTGTTGAGATCCAGTATCTTTTACGCCATGCTACATGAACTGTAATCTGGGATGGGGTAAGTTCATCTAGCCAAACAAGATTGATGACGTCTCAACACACCCGAGCCACTTGACCAATCTACGTTTAGAAGCATTCTAGAATCAAAATTCTGAACACTATTAGATCAACGGCGTTGGGTAAGACGAGCGATATTCAAAAGAGTCTGGCGGGTCCAAAACACCCCTAGAAATGGACGCCGAGTTGCTGATTGGTCAACTGTCCGACCTAGCGCCCCTTGTCATTCAGTTCTACTCGTGATTATGCTGGCGAATTGCTAAAAGTCTATCAAATTCTGGTATTATATTCTATTTTGACAACAAACTCTGAGGACAGCTACTGTGGTGAGCACTACTCAGGCTATAAGTGGGTCAGTTTTGATTCAGGTCGGTGTTACTGACCAACAACATCAAACTTTGCTTCCATAACTGATCACCAGCCGGACTAAACTAGGCTACCGTGTTGACGCCTGCTCGTGCTCACATCTGCGCTTATGGTCGCGTATAAGAATTTTATAATTGGAGAAGGTCAACTTCTGCAATGACTGCGGGTCTAAGGTGTCCCAATGTATGACAATTTGAGTTTGGTTCCGGGTTTAGAACTGCTCCACCTGTTCACCACCGGCCGAGATGGCCCAAGTGGCTGGAGCGCGTATTTACCGATCGGAAGGATTGTGGTTCGAATCTGTCCTCTGCTTTTCGAATTCCCCTGTCTAGGCTTGGCAGTATCCTGGCAGTAGCTCAGCCGTCGTGCAATCTTCGGAAGGCATGGCAGTTAGGCACCGAAAGGGTGCTACAGCTGAACGATTTATTTTTATTTTTTCACCACCTAGTCTTGTTCTTTCGGGTTTACACTGGGCTATCAAATGGTTGCACGAACAGCTCCGTTCCAACCGAACGCAGTACCACCTGGTTCGTTTGCTTGGCTCAAAGTGACAGTCTAATCTGAAATTCCATTCCGTTCCACCATTTTAAAAAAGCCAGAACGCAGATGAGAGGCCTTGCTTCTGAGGTTTGCTTTAACCTGACTTTCATGAATTATATCAGGTCGAGGCGAGTCAATTAAAGCTTTCTATGACCTACTATCAATTTCGTCAATACAAAATTACGACGGGATCACATGACGAAATGAAGTAGTGCGACAGATGTTAAAGAACCACCGCCTGAAATATCCATAATCCCGAGTAAGCAGGACGCTGATTGGTTGAAAGTAAACCAGGTGACATCTAACCAATCACAGATTGACAAACTACAGTCGTTCTAAGAGAAACGAAATAAAAACATATGAAAACATTCAGCTAGATTCCAACTGGAACTTTATATGAGTTTTTTTGTGGGACATCATGCTTTCTGCTCAATGCAACGTACCACCAGTCAAGTTTTACACAAAAAATCGCCCAATAACTGACCTTAGATGATCGTAGTTGAAACGCTGCGAACACTGGCGACGATGCTTTTCGAAACCTTGACATGTGTAGCTCTCCATCCAGACATGTTTTTGCACGAACGGATTGTCAAATCCGTACATTTGGTAATCGTACAAATCAGAGGTATGCATAATTGCGTTCAAGGTCGGTCGCCCCAGTTCGTAACATATAACCTATTTGGGGGAAACGATACAGAATCAAGTTTCGAAATCGCGAATTTCGCAGAATAAACATTTATCCTGAAAATGTAGTATTTTGACCAATAGAACTTCCAATCAGTTGGTTGAGAAAGTAACAAAATAGACACACGAAAGTCCAGACTGTACAAGCAAAATTTTACAAGAGATTCGCATTTTTGACCACAGCTGTTCAAAATTAAGAGTAAAATAGATAAGCATTCAGCTATAGCACCCTTTCGGTGCCTAGCTGCCATGCTACCCGGTGAAAGCATGAGGGCTGGATTACTTCCGGGTTGACAAACCCTAGACAGGGGAAGTCGAGAGGCAGAGGTCGGGTTCTAACCACGGACCTTCCGGTCAGCCGCCCTCAGCCCCCGCTGTGCGAATTGTATCACCTCAAACGCGGAAGTGCAACAAACTGGATCGTCCCATCCCATATCCTGACGGAGCAACTTGAAGTCACAATGATTTGTACAAAAACCTTGAGTACTCCCAAAGAAAAGCATATACTTTATTGTCACTAATTCAATGCGGTGTTTTTTGTCCTCACCTGAGCCACTTCCGTGGAGAATTGGTGATCACATGCAATATCCCATCGCTGAGTGGTTACGTTGTAGAAATGCACGAATCCTTCGTCTTCCTGAAGATAAAAGAAAAGATTTATGCGAACGAAGATGGTAGGAAGGCAGTACGCGTGAAGTTAACCTACGCTGGCAAGCCTAAGATCATAGAAGCTGTCTCATCTCTGTTAGGAACTGTCAGCGTTGCTCATCTGAAGAGCCACTAGAGGGAGCTGAACCAACAACCTCCTGTTTAGCAGTTAAGGACCACATTATTCGGCCACAGGTGGCTGTAACTTGAAGTTAAAACAGCATCCTGTCCAGGTGCTTTTGACTGAACGAAACATAATAAACCTACAGAGAGATAGACAGACAGACAGACAGAGAGACAGATAGCAGACAAATGGGAGGTAGACAGGCGGGCAGAGAGATAGAGAGACACACAGAAGGAGGAGGACACACGGGTAAGCAGATGGACATAAAGCTGAACCAACCCGATCTCCACCAATCAGCCGCAGGTGTTCAGTCGACAGTCCGATTCGGCCAGCCTGGTGAGGTTTCTCCGGCGCACGACCAACCACATTCGGCCTTTGGGTTTTTGACACGTGACTTCCGGTTCTGCCGTTGCTGTCGCTTACGGGCATTGGGTCCACGGGGATTGCCGCGAACTGGATTGGTTGTTCTCGAAATCCGCGAGCAATCAGGCGTCCCAAAACCAGAATCCCAACATGGGGGGCAAACTCCAGGCGAACACCAGCGTCTATTCGGAGCTCATGACCAGGCATGACAGTCAAATCGGTAAGTACCTAAGCAAAAAAGCAACTGAAGTTTAAGGGACTTATATGCAAAGGGATTCCGCGATCCTCTGAGGATCCATTATTTCTCCTTTCCAGAAAGTGTGCCAAGTAAAGTTGTGGAGGAGGTCCCTCAGGACTGCACCTCACGGACGAGCTCCAGTAAGATCAAAACCGGTAGTAGGCGGTAGAGGAGTTTTTGTGGACCCGATAAGCATTGTTATATCAAGAGGGAAGCTATGTTGAAAGGCCTGTCTTCACGTTGTTCAGTGGCCAACCAGTGGCAACCGTGAAGGGGTAAGTACGCGATAAAGATAAGTAAGGCAGTCATTGGACAATTTAATTAACCAATGGCGTGTCAGAGAGTGGTTCCACGTAGCACTGGTAAAACAATTTACAATGATAAAACTCTCGAATGAAGCGATATGCGTATTCGTAGCAGAAAGGGTACCTGAGCATCAGTGCTCCAGAACAAAAAAGAATGTGCGACTTGCTTATCAGGTCAAGTTACAAGTGGAAATGAATACAGTGAATCCTCTCGACCAAAATGTCCGCTTATTCTCGATGCTCCGATAGACGAAATAACCTATCGCCAGAAGGCCACCATTCCATTGTTAACTCACTCAGAGCTAGTGTTACTGGTAGTCTAAACCTGACAAGTGAAGTTAGTCACGTGACTTCGATCACACGTTCAACGGACAAGCATATGGATAGATGAAATTCAAAATACGTGGGGATGGAAAGGTGCTAACATGTGTTCCCGATATCAGCGGGTTTTAGGAGAAGGCATGGAAGTGTGTCAATAGAATGGAGCAGCACTGTCACACAGCACGCTGAAATAAACAAGTACGATTAGTAACTGGGTAGAGTACCGTCCCCAGATATTCTCAGCTGATTAGTGAAAGCGTTCTTCTCAGAAAAATCGCAAGTATCAGGTAATTCATACGATTTTCTATGAGTTGTAGAACAATTGGTCGACAGGCTTGACTTATTCATATACTTGTCCTCGGATTAGCTTGCTCGCAGTCACGATACTCATTGCGCTCTTTTTTGAAATAGGAAAAACAAGCTACTACTTTCTGTAAGTAGTAAGAAAGTTGAAGAAAGATTATGAAAGTCGCGACGACTAGAATATTTTTTTGTAAATTCATACCAACATACTGAACTCACACGGTATGGCTGCGTTCGGTAGGGCAGACGGAGATCTTGAGTTAAAAGTCCCCCCAGTACACCGTCCATTGGGATCCATTGCCGTTTAGTGGATGCGGTTACTTCAACGCGTTCCAGCCAATTGGTGTGAGAAAACTGAACGAAATATGGGTTGAAGACAAATAAACCCCTCTGATTTAAAAAAAGAAACCAATCGAAGGGAATCTGCTTCTGGTGAACAGGCTAGTGGATAGAAATCTTTGAGGTGAGCAGAGCAGCATCGACAAAGAAGCCATAACGGAGGATTGGTCTTGTAAATGTTTCGGCGACCTAGTGAGTAGTATGTTTCAAGAGGACAAGTCGAACAGCTTCTTTCAAGGTGCATACTACGAAGCGAGAGTCATCTTGTCATAATGTAAACTACTTACAAGGTTGCTGAAATCTCTTCGACAGGTCACGACCGGTTTCGCCCTTCTTGGGGCTCATCAGGTAGACGCAGTCCCCGAGGTTCCGTCAACCTCATGTTCTACTTGAACCCAAATTGGACAGTTTTCGAAACATTTAGTTGAGTCTCTCGTCCAAACCAAATTGATTTGCAAATGAGTGTATTTCCCGAAAGTCATTTTTTCTTTGTTCTACAGAATAGTACATATGTAGACTCTTCGGTAGTGTGTAGCTCCACTCTCAACTCACCCTCCAGGACAGTTCTGCTTTTGTACAAACGCAGAGACCAAAAAGCAAATGAAATAGAACAGGAATATTTTTTACCGTTCTAGTGTACCTACAATTTACCCATGTTTACAAATGCAGCACCGCGGAGGCACTTTTGTTGGCCTACCTTGTCACTTTCGTAAAATCCGTCAAACCGAACAACTGAAAGACAGTTCCAATTTTCAAATTGAAAAATGCGACTTTGAATCTCGGTCACATTGGTTGTACCCCAATAGTTTCTGGTCGCATCGAGGTAATTCGGGATCTGTGTGGAATGCACACCGGCAATTAGTTCGTATTGCATGCCAGTTCCATTGAATTCCTTGGGAATCTGCAGAAGGATAAGGTGCAAAGTGAGGAAACGCTCGATTAATGGACAGAGCCTTTAGGGGCTGTAAATGAACAGATTTCAAATCCTGGTTGTGAGGGAAAGTGTGACAGATAAATGTGATGTCCAAGAATTTTCAGCAACCTTATGAGCAGTACATTACAAAGATATACATGTATCACGAATATCTCGAATGTCGTAGCAACTGAAACATGAGGCGGCCTGGTGCAGCACATTCAGTTGCTTGGAAACATCACAAACGAGAGATTCAGCTGAGTTCCAGGTGTGTGTCCCCCGAAAAACCAAAGTGGTTTGCAAACCAGTGTATTTCGCTAAATGTGGCGTTACTTTGCGTCAAGGGAAAACTACGGGCGATAACTGTGTTGGCGCTGACGTTGATAAGGTCTTCACCACCTCCTAGGCTGAAGAACTTCGAAACATATTTGTGATGTACTACTCATAAGGTTACTGAAGATCCGTCGACAGCCCACGACCGGTTTCGCCCTTTTTGGGGCTCATCAGGTAGGCGCAGTCCCCGGGTTTCCGTCAACAAGAAGTTCGGCTGGGTTCCAGGAGAGTCTCTGGAAAAACCAAATTAGTTTGCAAATGAGTATATATTCGCTAACCGTGATACATATTTACTACAAAGACAGGCTATTGATGTGAAGAGTACTCACGAGTGGCACCTGATGGTGTCCGAATCAAATTCTTTAGGACACAAAACGAATTAGTTTGCAATGAGTATATATTCGCTAACCGTGATACATATTTACTACAAAGACAGGCTATTGATGTGAAGAGTACTCACGAGTGGCACCTGATGGTGTCCGAATCAAATTCTTTAGGACACAAAACGATTCTGAGTATTGCATTAAATCCCCAAGAATCTGGTTTGGAAGCTGATGAAATTGATGCAACTTCCATCTGAGCCACACCTGCTCCGCTGGCACCGTCGCCAAATTTTCAAATGTTTGATCTAGGCAGCTAGCTGTAACATCAATAATCGGGGCGGAAATGACCTTCATGATAGATAGATATTTTAACCGCCGAATTCAAGTGTGTTTATTAGGACACATAAACTTTTGCTGAGTTGTGCTCATTTAAAACTGACATTGGTTCCTACAGAAGACTCAGGTAAAGCTCATGTTTACAGTGCTCTTCCACGGACTGTGCTGTACAAAGGCCGTCCCGGGCACATCGTAGAGTATTTTCTTGCAACGCTGAAGGGGTTTCTGAGGAATCTTTCACTTCTACTAATGTGTTCGACGCTTCATTCCAACTGGAACAGACTCATTTGAGGAAGAACATCAGGAAGGGGAGATCCAGATGGAATTCAGTCGAGCCACTAGTCAATAGTAATTTAATTTCGTCACCCACTTAGCTTTTTGTAAGAGATATACCTTCTACTAATTGATCACTTCAATGGTGTCCTTAAAAGGGTGGTTTTCTTCTCCGGATGTTCTTCTTACAAGAGGTACCCTTTCAGGCATTAGTGATCTGGTGGGAATAAGGCCACCTCACGTTTACGCATTCCTTGTTTTTGTGCGATGAGCTGTCAAGCAAAGAATAGCCGTTATCTTCAGGTAGAGGAGAACTCCGGAACTCGATGAACTGGTCACCACTCGGAATGTCAGTCGTACTCAGTTGGACGCAAAACAGACGTCTATCATAACTGCTGCAAAAAAACGGCCTATAGATTATTTATTCAGTCAGATGGGATGTGGGAGCAAACTCGGGACATTCCAGTGATGTACTGTTCAGGGGATTCAATAGATCCCTCATTAGAGAGGTGGCTGTTTTGTAGAGAAAGTTGCTTCATCACGCTTGTTATAAATAGTTTACAAATTGCATAATTTATGGTTGATGAACACATTGTTCTAACTGTAGGCAAATCCAGTAAGCGTGTAAACTAGAGGGCGTGACAAATTGAACATGAGAGAAGCTTTGCGCAAGTGAACTTTACTCAAACTTTGACCGACCTTGAAGTTGTCCAGTACATTTTCATGTAGCGTAACATTTTGTGTCCCAAACACACCGATGGTGTAACACGTGAGCGGATTGGCTGGATTGATGGTAGTCGATATTTTCTGCACGTGACACAAGTTATGACTGAACACATTTCCCGTCAACCTGGCAAACACAGATTGTGCTCCAATCACTTGACTGCGTCCTTGAAATCGGACCACAAACTGACAGCCATGATTGTTGTGAACACGGTTCCCCCTCATTTGAATATCTTTTTCCATGCCTTCAAAACGAATCAAACCGTTTGTCGCAATCAGTCCGCTGGATTTGTCCGATTGACAGGTATTTTGTTCAAATTGATTATCGATCAGATCCACTTGGGCATGATGTCCGTCCACCACAAATTGAAACTGATGATTGGCTACAATTGTTGTCTGGCTAACACGTAATCGGTGCGTGGTTATTGGTTGATAGCGCCAGTCATACTGATTGGACACATATGGCAGATAAAAGGCGATTCCACGGGAGTCGATGCTCCTGGGGAGGTCCCGTTGAATTCCTAATGAACTAGCTTGGCCGTTTTGCTCGAAACGACAGTGAGATATGTTGTAGGACCACACATTGTTTGCGAATTCCACGTGGTTATGTTCGGCCAGAATGCTTCCACCCTCGTTCTCCATAAATACTGAATTCTCAATTTGATAGGCGATCATTGAAATTCGTTCAGAGGAATGAGCAGTGGTCACGAAGGATGGCATATACCAGTCGTTGGAAAACCTGGAAACTGAGGGGATGTTCAGTCCGACGTCTTTGTTTTGTCTAAAAGGGGATTTAAAACAAGTAGTTGAATTTTGGGGACCATGCCTACCTTATGAGACCTGATAATGATGTGTTCAAACGCCTCATTATCAAAAGCATGATATGGTATATGGTCTTGTTTCCGGTGGCTCATCACCAGACTACCTTCTATTTGGGTATTTGAAGTTTGGGGACCATGTCTACCTTATGAGACCTGCTAATGATGTGTTCAAACGCCTCATTGTCAAAAGCATGATATGGTATATGTTCTTGTTTCCAGTGGCTCATCACCAGACTACCTTCTATTTGGTGTTTGTAACGGATGGTTTCCAGTATACTGATCAAAATTACACAACTATTTTGTGAAATTATACGTGGCACCAAATTTGGTTTGGACACGGGTAAGGAACCAAGTGAAAAGGCTAAGCTAAAAGTTAAATTAGATTGGATTAGATTAGATTAGATTAGGTTAAATTACGATTAAGGATCCATCCCCTCGTCTGACGTGTAAGGCTCGTACACATCTCTCATTTCTGTCCTGGCATGATTGTTCGGGCTACTCCGTACGAGTGTACCCAAGCGCTTGGCTCGAGGCACGTTCTCATTAGATCTCATCAGCAGTGACCCTGCCTGGGATTCGAACCCCGGGCCAGCACACACCAGGTGCAGAGAAACTGCCACATTTGAAAGAGTCTGCCATTTGCAAGTGCGCTTGATTTGTTCTACGCACGAGTGTTTGAGTAGCGATTGGAATCCATACTCCCGTGTTGTCATAACCAGTGGCACAAACATAGGTCCTTGTGGTAAGTCGCTATCGGTCGATGGCAAGTAATAAATGAACAATGTTACCTACATTAATAACCATAACATGCATTGTTTCAAAGAACACTTTGAATTTGGACTGTCCCCAATATAAAGATATCATCAAATATGATGGAAATGTCTAGTTGTCTCTGAAAAGCCAGCGTTTCAGAGATGTGAGCTCATCACAATTGTTATTCGAGCGGTAAAGGCTTGGAGAGCACTTTAAACGAGATGGAAGCAACAGAATAACTTACAAGATGGATGAATTGGATAAACGGAAGACCATACTATTCTGTCTCCAAAACAACCTGTCCAATCGATCCACAGGATCGTTGTAATGATGAATGGTCAGTCCGAATCGATTTCCGCGCACAGTACAATCTTGCAACACAAATTCGGGGACGGGGTAGTTCCGTGTATCTCCAGGCTGAAGTCTAAATGCTTCAGAGTGCAGCTTTGCCGCAGCTGAGTTTAGTTGTCCGTCTGGGAATCGAGCATCCTGAAGGTCACGTGTCTCAATTGCAAACGAGAGTCGACCAGTACGCGTCCCACTAACACGAAGTTCGATGGTAATTTGATGACCGGAAGAAATGAAAGGTAAGCGTACCAGGTCACGTGGTATATGCCAGCTATACACCTGACTTGGGTTGGGTTCGTCTACTGAGGAGTCGTAGATGATCAGTTCCTCTACGGTGGTTTCGCCGGACGTTGAACACCGCAAGGTATGACAAGGAATTGTGGATGCAGGTAAAAGGTGACTGTATGAACCCGTGGGACCGATTGTAGCGTTAGGACTAACCGAAGCCTGGGCCTCACTTGTCGGTGATGTGGTCACAGGGTAGTCCAGCAGATGGACAATAAGCTGGTGCAAACGGTGCAAGTCATCCGCGAGCAGTTCAGATCGATAAATGGTCTGACGGGCAGATACGGGAGGGTGGTAGAGTGAAGTTGACGTTGAGAAATCAAGCAAAAGGTATGTTGTAAGCAAAACGAACTTTATCTGAGGCTCCTGTCACCAAAAAAAGCATTAGTGAATTTGAGATCAATCCCTCTGTTGCTTTTAGTGTGTCGTGGACAGTCCATAAACCTTTCAAGGTAGTATCCCCCTGGTTCTCCTGGAGAGGGCCCCCCCTTAGAGGAAGCGTAGTAATCGCTTCTTTCCGTGAGGATATCTTTTGGAAAAGATCACTGTTCAGAGGACTGCCGTTTATACTATCAAGCAGGAAGCAGGTGAAGAAACTTGCTAGGCTGGGCAATAAGTTGCACATAAATGTTCATACTACTCAAATGTTTGGTAGTAGTGAAAAGTAGCAGAGGCTCTGTAGCACACAGTAAGAAACCACAGGTAGTCATACATACCTTTTCTTCCTTCTGTCCCGGCTGAATATTAACGAAAGTTATACCAGTTGGATGTAACTTTTGTGATTCTGTAACTGTTTGCCATCCATCTTCTAGGTATTCGACCTTCCGATCAGCGGAGTTGAACAATGTCAGTACGTGTACGGCTCCTGCGTGGAACTGGAACATGTCCTGTGGAGACATGACAGGGTCATAATTGATTCCTGAGCCAAATCTGCTTCCCTCGAACTGACACGCATTCATGTGGATCCATGGGGTTCTTGTGAGTAGGGCATCTTCGAGATTGTTCACCAGTCGACTGTCCGACAGTGTGAATGAATCGATTGGGTGACTGTACTGAACCATAAGGCCATGGGATCTACTGTTTGTGATCTGTGAACAGAGAGCAGCAGGAGGTCAGACATGGATTAGGCCCGGAGAGGTTTAGAGTGTACCTGGTAAGGCCGATAACTTCCATAGACGCGTAGACTGTTTAAGGTTACATAGTATGAAAACACAAAAGGTCGTACAACCTGGATGGCCAAAGTTCTTCTGTTGCAAGCCCGAGTAATGACTGATAGTTTTCCTGAACAAACGCTGATCAAGGATGGTAGCTACGGTCTTAGCTGAGTCGTTAATTTGAATACTGAGGACGAAACAGGTGTATAAGCTATCTGGCACCCAGTTTGATCTGTGATGCAGTACTCCTTGTTATCAGATGGAAACCTTACAGGTATGACGGCATTGGTGTTTGGTTTTCACGGGAACATGTGATGACACATTGTATCAACGTTCCAGCTGGGTCTTGGGCACCATGACTGTGGAATGACGGTGAACACAGGAGTGAAGAATTTTCGCATGAGAGAGCCATATCCCTTCAAGAGTCCATTCCCCATTCCGAAAACACATTCACCTAAGTAACCATGACAACTGTGAGCCCTGGAGCCTGATTGTATGATTTTCACAAAGGAAACTACTCACAAGGCTGCTGAAAACTCTTTGACAACCCACGACCGGTTTCGCCTTCCTTGGGGCTCATCAGGTAGGCGCAGTCCCTGAGTCTCCGTCAACCTTATGTTCTACTTGCGTTGTATCGAATATCGTGCCAACTGAAACATGAGACGGCGTGTGCGCGGCACATTTAGTTGAAGAATATCATAAACGAGAGATTCAGTTGAGTCTCTCATTAAAACCAAATCGATTGTATGATTCTTTACTAGATTCAGGTGGCTGAAGGGTTCTTTACTAGATTCTTGTTTAAATGAGTTATAAGAAGTTGCAGTCACTCCATGTTTGGTGTAGATACACAGCTGTTCCTGCAAGCTGGATTCAGATCGATAATTCTGACTAAATTTCCTGTGACTCAATGAATGATGACCTCAACGTCACGTGATCGAATTTTGTTGATCTCATTTAAAAATAGACCTGCATGAATCTGCAGCCGATTGTCCGTTGGTTGTACTACCGAAATTTCCTACTTAATTATCGATCTCAAATTCGTACTTCTAGCGTGTATCGATCCGATGAGATTTGACCTACCGAATTATCGTGCAGTAAACTGTAATCACAAATCACAGTATACTGGGTTCCGTTGCCTTACCTCAATACGGTTTATTGTACCCGCGTAGTAGTCTAACTGCAATCCCGGCATGAACTCCATTGTGGAAAAGTCCAATAGACCACCGTTCGAGATCCGCAAGTGACGGATGGGCGTCCGAGAACCAGGATCTGATGCAGTCACTCGAATACCACTCCATCCAGGTAGATAACAACGTATTACCACGTCCATTGCATGGGTACAATCGTGCTCCAAGGCACTGTCGTGTCGACATTCGAATAAATCTGTCTCGTGACCGAGACAGTCCAAGTTCGCCAAGTGAATTGGCGCTGAACTTGCGTTGAACCACCGGTTAGCATTCAAAGCCAGTCGATCTCGAATTTCAGGTGGTAGTAGCCAATCCTGATGGGGAGGGCGAAATAATCAGAACAGAATGAGAAGAAAACCCACGACGTTCAAAGTTCTAATTGATCACAATTCACTAAGGAAGTTTAATATTGTGAGTGCAAGACCATCCACCAAAGTTCTCCCGCCGAGTAGCCGAGGGGAAGTAGGCTTGAACAATATAGTTGTCTTTAGCCGCCTCGTCCAGGTAATATATAGGGCCAGGCCGAATTCGGCGACCGTATTGATCGCAAAGTATACACTGAGTATGTAGTGTCCGCTTAGTTGAACTCATCGATTTGTTCAGTTTGATGACGCATTATTCAAACAGATAACGATAGATGACGGTGAGAGACCCAGATGAGTACAATCCAGCCCTCTCGTGTGTAGTCAATTGGAACGATCAATATTTGGCAACCATACCAATAGCATGGCGCTCAACTCTGATCAGCTAATCCTCCGGGTCATTTTCGACCTTACACACCACTCACAAGGTCGCTGAAAACTCTTGGACAGCCCTTTATTGGTTTCGCTCTTCTCAAACCTGGTCCATCGGGTAGGTGCAGTTCCCGAGTTTCCGTCAACCCTATGTTCTACCTGAACCCGAATGTGACAGATTTCGGTAACTTCACTCATTTGCACATCAATTTAGTTTTGATGGCAGACCCACATGGAACCTGATGCAGTATATTCAGTTGAGTAAGAACATCGTAAACCAGGGATTCAGCTGGATTTCTTATGAGTCTCCCGTAAAAACCAAAATAGTAGGCAGATAGGCGTTCTTCGGTAACCTGAGTCCAAGTAGAACATAGGGCTGATGGTGGAAACTCGGAGCTCGCGCTTACCTGATGAGCCGGCCCCAAGAAAGGCGAACCGGGCTGTCGAAGAGTTTACAGTAAACTCGTGAGTAGTGTATTACGTCAGTAGAATGTATCGCGATATCTCGAATGTCGTACGAACTGAAGTGAAAGCGGCCTGGTGCAGCACATTCAGTTACTTAAAATTACCATAAACGAGAGATTCATCTGGGCTCTTCTTCAGGTGAGTCCCCCGTTGAAGCCAAACTGATATGCAAATGAGTTTTTGTCCAAGTCAGTTTTGATTTGTTATTTAGGAGTCCATCAAATTATTGACTGATATTCTCCCGTCAGCCTGCTACCTTGATATCTGTGAGTTCTTTTCGAAAGCGTTCTTCAAGCACAGCAACTAGGAGACCGCCACGAACTATAAGAAATCTTGGCGAAGATGAACAGCTGGCGGTGCGGTGACACTATGGATCAGGCCACAATGCCAACAGAAACACGGACCAAAAGTTCTGGCCAAAGTACGCGGACTTCATTCCTGTTAGTAGGGCAACACCGGTAGCAGAGGCATGAGATGAACGAACGTATTCAGCGACAAATTTTAAAATCAGACCTAATGAGATACGATAACCGCACTGATATGGCCTCTACTCGCTGAAGAACTCGCAGAAGGACCCAGGAACCCGCTGTGTACTTTTTTCGCGTTACCGATGACTGTCAAGAGAGACAGTTGATTCCCAACTACTGTGACGTCGCGCACAGTGTCTCCAACTTCCTATTGGAATTTCTGCCAGCTTCTAGCTTCCCTAGACATCCAGGAAAAGAGGAACCCAGGGTGACTAGCCATTTCGCAAGAAAAAGAACAGATCGACAAGCCAAGCAAATCCGCAAGAGAGTAGCGGACCGATGAAGCTCACTGGTGAATAAACAAGCACTTTGGTGATGTCTTTTTTCCAGACGTTACCTATCTGTTTCAGTTTTACTTTTTGGATGATAGGATGTTGACCCATGTTACCATGCACAACCTCACTGGTTTGGGTCCATCTTACCAAGGGAAATGTCTGTCTGAATGACTCCGTCAACTCTACACGTCTTTCTTCACTGATGGATCGATAAAATGACTACCAGATGCCATCTTAATGTGTGGCGACCGAATGAGCATCGATCACTCACTTGCAAATCAATTTGGTTTTCACGAGAGACTCAACTGAATCTTCCGTTTTTGATATTCTACAACTGAATGTACCATACACAGGCCGCCTCATGATTCAGTTGGCACGATATTCGAGATATCGCAGTATATTTTCATAAGGGAACCTACTCACATGGTTGCTGAAAACTCTGTCGAAGAGTTTTCAGCAACCTTGTTAGTAGTTTCCTTTATAAAGAACATCGATCACCCCTTCCGTTGGATTAAATAGATCTCAGGCCACACATTTTAGATAGTCAAATGTCGGCTGTGGGTTAGGTTGCTGTCACACTTCCAACCTTCCCTCACACACATTAAAGCTCTAACTTTGAAGAATACAAGCGAGGAGAGTTATCTGAACTTGACTGAGTTTCCCCACCCAGAATCACGTGCCTAAATGTGATTTTTCCATTCACGTTACTGCCTGTGTTTTGTACGCTTTCCCATTTTTGTTAATGAAACAACACCTCAAGACAGGGGCTGGTAGCTAACCTGGACGTTCTTATGCAGGGGTTCGAACCCGGTTCGTATGTAATGTTAACCGCTGGACTACCGGACACCAGTAGATAATTCGCAAAAAACAAGCCCGTTTGACCATTTGTGTCGAAGTGAACATTGTGGAACAAAAGGACCGACTCACTTTTGGATGGGCCACAAGTCCCAAACTGGAACAGACAAGCATAGCAGCATGAGTTCCAAACCCACGTTCGCACACCGTCCCCCAAACATCTTCACCAGCATACTGGACGTGTTCCGGCGGTGAACGGCACTCCACACGACCTTCGTAGGCAATGCCATCCAAGTAACCGCCCACCAGCCGAATCGTTCGATTGGTAAACCTAGCCAATAAATCTTCCGTAGTGCTTCCGGACTGGACAAAGTTTGGTAGCACGATCTCGTCATCGGTTTCGAACAAGTTCATCTCGATTGACATTGCTTCGGTACCCATGATCCGGAGTTCACCCTGTCAAATGTATTTTTCCATAGTATTGAATTTCCAAAACTTGTCAAGAAACAGTGAGACAGTCAGACCTAAAGGCTTGTCTTAAGGTCATGTGAAAAGGTCTAGCGAGGCAGCAATGCAGATGATTCGGAGAGGGGAAGGAATAAAATATCTACACCAAAGATCTTGTTGCTACCACAGGAAACAACAAAACAACAACAACAAAAAACAATAACATCGATGACAACAACAGACAATGAACCCTCCATTGAGTGGCGCACTAAGAGTTCGCGGGTTCGAGTCCCGCCCAAAGACTCTAGCTTTCCGCCTGCACTGACAACAACAAAAAACAGTAACATCGATGACAACAACAGATAATGGACTCTCCAATGAGTGGTGCACTAAGAGTTCGCGGGTTAGAGTCCTGCCCAAAGACTCTAGCTTTCCGCCTGCACTGTGTGCACTTGGTTTTCCAGTGATTGTGGAATACCGTGCGGAGTTGGTCAGCAACCACAATGAGTAGTAACCTGTGAGTTCCTCAGTTAGCCAGTGGATGTAAGAAACCACGGTTGTTAGATGGAATTTCACACGGATCCCGCTTTACCGCTCGCACTCAAGTGCTGCTACGGCCGAGCAGTCTACCCCACAAAAGACTGGCCAAGAATTCGGGACGCTTGCCGGCCCGGCATTAAGACGACATCTGATTGGTCGAAAGTCTGGGCCCAACAACCAATCATGACCCAGTACTCGCCAATTGCCGGTTACCAATGGCATCCAGAACGCGTCAGAATTTCCAGGTTATAATCGCCTACGCTACATATACGAAGCGCTGTACAACTGTTCCTGACTTCGTTTTGGGCGTTAATATACCTTGTGCAACTTTGGTGGTTGTTTTGACGTGAACGCTAGCTTGGGAGGCTCAGATCGAGAACTAAGCTGAGCAAAATACCGTTACTCCAAAGGTACAATCCGACGCGGTAGAGGCTTTGCATGCCTCCGGCGCACCAACCACGTATAGATCACATCTCATGAAAAAATGGAGCCCCGATAAGAAGACTACAGCGAGTCCACTTAAGTAATTCAGATCGATCACATACCTGCGAGAATAACCCTAAACCGTTTTCAAACTTGAGCCGTACTCCAGGTTGAATATCCAGAATTCCACCGGGCGGGATGAAGATGTCCTTCGTCACGTGGTAGTACGCATCCGGACTGGACAGGGCAGTGAGTTCAACACGTCGACTTCTCTCAACCGGTATTCTTCCACCGAGTCTGATCTGTCCGGTGTATGGATCTTGTTCACGGAATTCCGGAACGTAGGGCGGCTCATTTGCTGTCGTGAACTCACTGTGCAAATCAGGGTCTTTAAGTAGCGGATGATATTCAACACGGGCGAGAGTGTACCTGCAAACGGAATATTAATTCTAGCGTCGATATCCCATTTAGGTGATACGTCAAAGTAGTGAAACTCACGCAAGCATGAAGGTTATTGCCCATTCATCCATCCATCCATCCATCCAACAAACCTAACATCAAAGTACTCGCACATATTAAAGCTCATTTAGATTAATGTTCAGAACCAACCAATCAGCGCTTGAGTCTCTGATCTTCCACTCACTGACGTATCCAATAACATCCCCCCTTGATGCTCAACTACCATTAGCTACTACATAAGAACGTGTTCTGGTTAGATAACGACTCCAGCTACAGTCCGCTTACAGTACACAGTGCCCTCCCGGTTAGTCGCCTTTTATGTTCGTATTTGCCCCCTCGAACCTGCAAACTACTTCAATAACTCTAGTAGTTGGGATCCTAGTTCAAATTTTTCAGCGTTCCTCTCATAGAGGAAACTGCTCACAAGGTTGCTGAAAACTATTCGGCAACCTTCGACAACTCTTCAGCAACCTTGTGAGTAGTTTCCCTTATGAAAATATACTGCGATATCTCGAATATCGTGTCAACTGAAACATGAGGCGGTCTGTGTTGAAAAATATCACAAACGAGAGATTATTCACTTGAGTCACCCTGGATTACCGCTCCTCGAGTGGAGCGCACCAAATAAGCAGCTAACTTCAACGGTATTTTTCATTAAAAACGGACTACTCATGAGTAGTGACAAATGAGCAAATCCACGCGTCTCGGAGGCGAAGCTGTCCTGGGACTGTAGCGGACGCCTTGCGTTTTTAGAAACAGTTTGCTGAGTGAGATGCAACATGCATCTAGTAAATGTCAGCAGATCTTACAGTCACTTAAGGGGAGTGACATCTTATGCCAGTTTGTTTTAGCCAATCGATGTTGAACATTAGGGGTGGACTTGGTGGAACCTGCAAGTCAATGCAGCACGAAGAAAGGGACCCAACTTGGTGTGGACCTAAATTACCGACCTCCCTCAAGTCTCCGCAGTATCTCAGCTAGTCGAGCACCGCTCCGTAGATGAGAGGCCGGGGGTTCGAGTGTGTCGTCGATCTTGCAGCTGTAATACCCTACCAGTGACTAGCTGCTCTGCTGTCTGAAGGGCTGGGACACTCCCAGATTTCCCAAGCCTAGTTAGAAGCAGTCTAGATGCTCGGGTGAGCTGGGACTACGGACCTTCCGGTCAAGGTGTTGGTGCCCTAACCAGCAAGCTATCTGGAGCTTGAGTAAATCCTCAGTGTAAATAAAATTCTCATTTATTGAGCTTCCAGTCTGGTTTCTATGCTTAGAGGGGCGTTTCCTAGGCAATCATCAACCATCATCATCATCAGGTGATATCAGCACACCTACAACTGAACTTTGCAATCCACTTTGAGTGGTACAACATAGCGAACCGGATAGTTTCTTTTTATCGGACGAATCTTACTCAAGCTTTCTGGAACGTCCCCAGAGAATGAGATGAATTGGACCGCTTCTCGGGATCTAATTCGCTTCCGCATGCCAACTCCGAGGTATGAGGTTGACTGTTGGGCGCCAGGTCACGGGAGTTATCGATCGATGATTCAAGTTAGACAGAGAGTAGAAAGAAGCTACATCAGTCAGCAAGACGGTTTTTTGCATGGATTAAAGGATCTCCGAATGGGTTTGTCTCGAGTGATCGCGCCTTATTTGAATAACGTTTTGATTGCTTTTAAATTGCTTCATATTGTGGAGTTCTTGTTTTTGCGCCTCTGGGGATAACGCTGATTTTTGGAGGTCCACGTGTTCCTGAGCTTCAATGAATGGGGTTCAGAGAGTAGAATTGAAAAGAGTTTCACCTGACTCCACTTACCTTTGATTCTGACCAAACAATTTTCGGCCGACGGCCTTGTGAACAGCTCCCCATTCGGTCAGACCCCAGTCCTGCAAACTTCCCCAGTAGTTTATTGAAGCGTTGATACATTTGTCTGACGCGGTCAGGTGACTTGCGATTTCGCTGAGTGTACAAAAGGGGGAAGGGGCCGAGTTCAATATCGACCGGATTTCAATAAATGATATTACACAAACTGCCGTACAGAGAATATTTCAGTCACAGTGAGCTTTCTCAGAGCCTCGTTCGTTTACTTCAAACGTGACAAAACAGTTTTCATCTTGTATTTATAAAAAAAAACACAAAACACCATGTTATCATTGCTTTGTAATGTTCCACCACATCTGTATTGTGTGGAATCCACACCCGTTTTTCCGACCAAAATCAATTTTTTCTACTAGCTTTATGCAGAAATGCTGGCAAAATATAACCAAAGTGTTCACAGTTTGTCCCCATACTTTGATTGGTCGCTTCTGGCGATCCTTCGGTCACTTGATTATGATTGGTTGGTCTTCGACCGTAATACAGCGTGACAACACCCCTCCTCCACTGCCACAAGAATAGACCCTTCCAGTAGCGGATGTAGCAAAATTCGTCGTTTTATTCGAAATTCCGTTGGCAATGACAGTTCTTACTGTACATTCTAGTGAGCACAAAACATCCACATAAGTGTGGTAGTTCCGCCATCTGGGGAAAGATCCCCACTGTAAAAGGATCTAATCTCTAGCTGGAGACTATCTCTATTCTGATCCAGACTTAGTGTTCTAAGCTGAATAAAATTGCGCAAAAATTTGAAGCTCGCAACGGTGATCTCGAGCAAACCGTGAGATTTTTCCCTAAGAATCAATGATAGTTTCTGTCCAATTGGAAATTCAAGGATTCAACCCTCACCAGAGCGTTTCACTCATCTCTTTTCAAGCAGACTCGGCTATATGCTCGAACAAAAGCAATCGCACTTGTCTTTGGTCTGTGGTACGGTCCATTCAAACAACCATGTCGTGTAAAACTATCAAAACACGTACGTCGTCTGAAACAGTTCCATCACAAGCTACGGTCTGGGATAAATGGATCAAGCTCTGTAGTGTGTGGACCAATCCAACACAGCCGACTCTCGCTGTCTCAGGTACATCCGAATTTAGCATGGAAATCGGGAGAGAGGTCTGTACTACTCGATAGGTGTGATAGTATGATCGACGCTGTGAAATACAGCCACAGGCTTCGTTGTTAACGGTTTGGGGGTGGGCGTAGAGGATAGCCCTGAACAGCCAACATAACGGTCTCTGAGATAAGCCAATCGGTACACAGATGAAACAAAGGAGTTGGAAAGCCTGTGATGACCATGAGATTTCCGACAAGAGGTGGTCAGCCAGGAGTCACCACGCTGCAAAATACCACACCTCAAAATTATGCACCATTCCGCGCCTTGTCATACTTCAAGACGCACCCATGTTGTACTACTGTCAGACACAAAGGAACATGGGTCAACATGGAGTCGTATGCACACTGGAGCGAGATTTCCGACAAGAGGTGGTCAGGTCAGCCAGACCACGCTGCAAAATACCACACCTCAAAATTATGCACCATTCCGCGCCTTGTCATACTTCAAGACGCACCCATGTTGCACTACTGTCAGACACAAAGGAACATGGGTCAACATGGAGTCGTATGCACACTGGAGCGACCCTGGTCACGTGACTCATGGCCAGCCAATTAGTTGAAAGTCCGCTTTGATGTCCACGCTCGAGCCAAGTTTAGGTCACTCTTTCTCCTGCTGGCGCACCATTTTATTGAGGAAACAGTAATAAGACGGAGAGGCGGACATACAAGGAAGCGTCAGTAATAAGTCGGAGGCACTCACTTAAATGCTCGCCGCACAAACCGCCGATCAGTACACTTATGGTAAAATTAACGTTGATAGTGGATAAAAATCCTTTTTCAAAAAGTCTCTCTACTCATCAGAAGTCTGATCACCTTATATTCCTGTGAGGAATAAACAAACACCTCCCTCCCTTCATAAATTTTTGCAAGGAATTCCAACTACTGAAACCCACAATCTTATCGATCGCCGCGACTGAATGTTACTGGACCTGATTAGAAAAAGTTCTAATGGTGAAGAACAGAGCGCAATCTCGGATGCGATATGTTTTTCTCAATTTTCCTGCTCATTGTGGTCATGCTCGACACATTCACCCGTTCGCTTTGTAGTTGTACTTTGGAGTTTTTCTGCCCCTGTCATCCCTAACGCGGAATTTAAGCGGTTTTTAGCACTTTGGTTACAACTCTTCTCCTCTGGCGGTGGACTGCAACGGTTGGAATTCACTACATGTATCGTGGCTGATCGGCTATTGGTTGCGCAGGGACTGAGCGATAAGGGGACAGCCGGGACACGGCTGTATTGTGTAAGTATGCAGGATGGCTAAGAGACCAATCACAGTCGTCCGCATGTTCGTCCTGTCCAGCCAATGGCGACGCTCCTACCGCGAACAATTTCACACCCACTCCGCTGGTTGCAAGCAGCTAAACCGCGATCCGTCAACGCGCCTGTGGTACCGACGGAGACCTTGGGGACGCGCAGCTCTCGGCACATGTGCTTTTCGTGTCTGGTCCCATCTTGACAATACACAAACCTATTGGTGACGGAGGGGGGAGCGTGACCTTAACGTGATGCTCGCAACCAGGGGTCAGGAGGGTAGATTTGATTGAAGGAAGTATAGCTTCAGTTCGTCCACTGTGTCAAAGGAGAAGCCCACACTAATCACATTGTCCTTCATCCCTCGATGACCCATCTCATGGCCCTTTCTGGGAGATGAAGTCCTCTAGGACACAAAATAGTGGGGAAGCACTCCCACAGTAATCTGTTCAAGAATGTATGCTGCATACTCATCGCAATAGTGTAATTTAAGCCTGACTTGAGTAGTTTCCTCGTGACAGTGATATCGTAGTGAATATAGGTAAAAAGGGGTGACACAGCGACCAATAAAAATAGCCGAACTCACATATCTGACTGTTGATTCCAGAAGTGGTTCCGCTGAACAAGGATGTGTGAAGACCCAATAGTGACAACTGCTCGTGCGGTTGACCTTGGATTGAGGACATTGATGTTCCGCTTGATTCTGATTGGGAGAAAGGTTTTTTTGTGAACGATCTCCGTAAACGGACCCAATACATATACTACAAGGATTGGGCAATTTTCTGTTGTCTGTGGCTCAATGTTGAATGGTGTTCATATTTTATCACAGGTTTCTAGTTTGATGAGATCTACGCATGAAACTGCTTAGCTCGTCCCTTGCAGATGTTGACCGTGCCTTGAGCAACAGGTGCCCCGGGTCGAAAGATGGTGCTCTGTTGCCATGTTAAAGACAGCTGAACTAAGATTAAATGGGTATTCCACCGGGCTGCTCTCGGGGAAAATCAGAGGGGATTAAAACGCCAGTCTGAAGCAGCGGGAGCTACGGGAGCGTAGTAACCATCTCCGGATTAAGATAAAGACACAAACTGGTTGGAATGTAAGGAGATTTGCTTGACCGCAACAAGATTTTAAGACCATCCATAATTCTTGACGCCACTTCGAACCTGACGGTTCGAATAGAATGAGTCATCGTCAATACGTACTTGTCTTCACTCACCAGGACCTAGAAAAATATGACCTGGAGGAACTGAAATAAAGGTATCGAACCGCTGAGAGTAAATATGATGGCGAATCCTCTCCCATTTAAAAAAACGTCGTTCAGCTACAGCACCCTTTCGGTGCCTAGCTGCTATGCCACTCGAAGGTTGCACGAGGGCTGGGATACTGCCAGGTTGCCTAAGCTTAGGACAGGGGAACGAGAGGTAGTAGTCGGGTTCGAACCATGGACCTCCCGGGTAGTAAATTCGCGCTCTAGTCACTTGGGCCGTCTCGCCCCCTCCCATTTTATTGTTGCCAGAAGTGTTTGATTATATATACTCAAGTTGGTGCCTCTAAAATTATTAAAACTCAATTATATGACTGCTACGTAACCGTTCTCCAAGTTAGAACAGTCATCAAATCACCTTGACATTCATAGACATTTAAACCTTCATGAGCTCCAGCTCTCAGTTGGTTTAAGATCAGGCCTACAAGTTGGCCACTCCAAACTTCCTACGACGTACACACAATTTGTTCCTGTCGGACTGAGGGACGTAAAATGCTTCACTGACTTATCGGAATACACGAACGTCTTGCCTAGTCGTGACAACAAGCGACAATATTAGCCCCTTTAGGTGCTGAAGTTCTGCACCAGAATTTTGAATCATTCATGATCGACTGATCGTTCCGTAAGGAATGGAACATCAAGCCGAGTTGCTGCTTTTGAAGGTAGCTGACTGAATCCGAGCTGTGTTGCACATGTTCCCGCTTAGTACGTGTCCTGGACGTGGGCGTGAGTATGATCCGAAATCAATACAAACGGATCTAAGTCGTACGGCTGGGTGAGCCGTGGGTGAGCCTGACCACGAATTTGGGTGGGTACGGCTGGGTACGTGGGTGAGCCTGACCACGAATTTGGGTGTATGCGTGGGCGAGACGTGGCTGGTCGTGCGTGTGCGCGTGGGAGCAACGTGATTGGTCGTGCGTGTTTGCGTGAGGGCAATGTGATTGGTCGTGCGTGTGTGCGTGACGCGTCCAGCGGCGTGACTGAGATGGGTCGATATGCGTTCCACATAGAGGTGCACGGAGGTAACGGTAAATGCTGACTGTCCCTACGTACTTTGGTCACAAAAAAGAAAGGGTAGAGAATGCTTCCGAACTAAGACAAAGGTAGAGTATACTCCAACTTTCTTCGGTTCAATACCGTTTATGTTGGACATGAACGTTGGTGATAAGAGAAATCCACGTTCGCATCATTCTCGTTTGGACAATTGCCTTCCTGTTTCTGCGCAATCATTTTAGTGATTTCACACAAAATGAACCAAGCAATGGATTCGAGTTCACCCTTGTTAGAGCTCATCAGCAGCGTATGTCCCTAACTGTACCAGGGTCTGAATTCTGCACAGTTGACACGCGAGGCGAGCGTGCAACCATGAGCAGTGGGAACATGCTGAACGCACCTTAGTTGACGAGGACCGTTCAAATGAGGATGATGTGAGAATATAGGTTTGTAGGCACTGAAACAGCAAGATACCCCACAATCCCCAGTTGTTGTTTTTTCATCTGAGAATTCGTTACTTGAGGAACCAGTCAACGTAACGTATGGTGAGTGGTTGGTGATTACACTATTGATCGTGGCTAAGTGGTATGGCAATCATCCGCCAACCAGAAGATTGCACCGAACAGTGACCCTGAAAACTAGTGAGGAGCAATAGACCTACCGGTTTCCGGTGAACCTATTGTAGATCACTCGAATTTTCTGTACCTCCGATATTTCGGTTAGTCGTAGGTGGATCACAGAGGTCCCTTGGTTATCGTAGAACTCAGAATTTCGGATTTGATAATCCACCGGAAGCGATCGATACAATTCTGCCTTGATCATGTCCAGTGAATTGTCCACATGAATAACGCGATTCCGATGCTGTGTGAACGTGCAGTTTGTCACGTGACCAGTCATCTGTGCCATCGGTTCGATCCAGATAGCGGCGTGCTGATTACCCTTGAAGAGGCTGTAACCGACCGTCAAGTTTGTCATGGCCTGAGGTAAAACAAGAGGAGAGAGGGGAGGAAGTAAATGATCGTCAGCGTGCAGTCGGTGAGTTGTATGAATTGTACTTCTACGCTGCGGTCACCAAAGCCTAACGAGTGCCGTAGATACTGGACATCAAGACTTGCTGTCAGCCCACAATCTGCTCAGAATTTGAATTAGAAAAAAATCTTGGCTAAAGGAGTTTTTGTGTTGTACCAGTCGTACGATTGGTTCTACGTGAGTAAAGATGGGACTGGATGTATGACGTGATCAAGGCCACTATGCATCTCGAACATGTGTCACGTGTCTATCAGACTGAATGAGCCACGGGCCTACCAATGCTTTCATGCGGATTCTGTTTACGGGCTTACACTTTCGACTCCAGGTGAAACCAGGCGTGGGTTACCAGCCACACACAGGTGTCCAGTAGTTCAACCACTTGAGGACTGCACTCAGCCGAAGTGCAGGTTAGACGCTGTCGCCACAATTCCAGTGAACCCGGCAGCGAGCTGTGTGAACCATTTCCTCCCTTGTGTAGTTTCTTTTCACGAGTTCTCATTTAACAACAGACAGAAAAGATGTTTATTGCTGATGGTCGTGGAAATCGAAAAAGTGCCTTAAGGACCGTCTCTCTGTAGCCGAGATACGGTTGGAGCAACTTCAGCTCTAACACGCTGCTCCTGAGAAGCAAACGAAACGACTAGGCCAGGAACGCGTTTGTGTTAGGAAAGGTGGACTACCTTCCATGGAAAGAGACGAGCTGGTCACGAAGGCGTGAGCGCATGCGCCAGACCCTTCGCAGTTCAAGGTACTTGAAACTAACCGCAGCGATTGCTCCAAACACAGGATAACCATGGAGATATCAGTATACTCACTCCTCAGAGTAGCCTGTGGTCATGCGGAGGGATACCAATAATTGCCACTGAACTAATGAACACGCCATTTTAGGGTAGGGATTTTGAAGTGCCGCTGTCCATGGAATCGGTTCATAAAACTTTTTGACCGTCCACGACCGGTTTCAACCTCCATGGGACTTATCGAATGGACGTAGACCCCCAGTTTCAACCTGCTTCACGCCCTACTTGGATAGCAAATATGTGGCGCGTGGCGCCAGGAGACTAGACCTTGATACCCCGAACATCGTGTTAACTGTGTAGCCACCCCGTCACCCACATACTTGACTGTTCGGCTCACAGTCGCTCACTGGATCACGAGACTTGCCTTTTTTCATACGCGCAAACCACGTCACATTAAGGTGACTCATCGGACATCGATTGTCTGCACAGCCTAGTGAGCGTAGCAACTACTCATGAGCCGACGCGCCCATGTACACGCGAACGGACCTACATATAAGGAAACCGAACACAGTCAGCACACACACCCTCGCGCGCGCGCAGGGAGCAGGAAGTCAACCTCTCTACAACTCCACGGACAATTATGGAACACGTATAGGAGTCGCACTGCGGAGAAAAACACGTTCCCGCCGTCCGGACTTTCATCAAGGGACACTCACCTACGATAAGTTCCCTTTTTGAGTTGCTCCACGTTTTATATTGCCTTTATTTTATGCATGCTGCAAATCGCCTCTGTAAACTACTGTCAACCACTTTTATTAGTGCACATACACCTTCTGATTTGTATCATGGCTATCATCACCAGTACAATAATAACTGAAACAAGAGAGAGTCTTTGTTGAAGGTTGAAGAGTTACAGGCATAATGCACTACTCATAAGGTTGCTGAAAATTCTTCGACAGTCCACGATCGCTTTCGCTCTTCTTGGGGCTCATCAGGTAGGCGCACTCTCCGAATTTCCGTCATTTTTACGTTCTACTTGAAACCAAACTGCACGAAATTAGCGAAATACACCCATGAACGAGAGATTTAGCTGGGT